TGGTCTGTCGTTCGTTCGGTCGGTCGGTCGGTCAGTGGTCAGTCAGTGGCAGTCAGTGGACAATTGGTGAAAGAGATTGATATGTGATTTGTGGAGCTATCAGCGCTTTGTTCACTTTATTTGATCGCCACTCAGGGTGGATGGGGTTTATCTTTTATAGGGCTTCACACGTGCCTGAAGCTGCCATCGGATTTTTGTTGGCAATCTGTTGGCACAAAGTTTTCCACCCTTGGTGCTAATTCCCCTTCGAAGATCGAATTCATGCGAAAGCCAGACCGCCGCTCGTGCTAACCTGCCACATATCTCGCAAGCAGTTGGCGGGCGATTCGCGATTTCGATCTGCGATTTGCGGGGTGTATGAAATCACAGGTTGTATATGGGAGGTAGAGGTGTGCTGTTCGGCTGCTCCGGCGATATGGTCTTTTTGCGTGAAATCCCCGAACTTATCGGGAATTAATACCAGCCCGCTAATAACTGCTATATATTTATTCATGTACAAGTATGTACATATATAAATATATATTTTTGGACGGACCATACGTTACCTGTGTGTGGATGGATATCAGGGGAATGACTTGCGAATTGGGTTAAGGAATTTTCGAATGCGCCTTGCCTTCTTCTGAAGCACATGATGCCCCCCTGCCACCATCTGGTTTTTTTGTTGTTTTTTTTTTGGTTTTTTTTTTGCTACCCATATATCGAAAATTTAATAAAATTTTTGTATGGCTCTCTTGTCATGTGACCAACTGGCTAGCAAATGTCTAAACATGGTCACAACCTGGTGGTGCTGTTGTTCAAATGATTCACGGCGACATTTGGTTGATTCACTTCAGGTGTCCAGACCTTGGGAACGTATGGAACGTATGGGGTATGAGCACATCCACACAGTATCTTATAGAAATTTCCAGAATTTCACAATGTTGGATTTTCTTCGAGTGTGGGTGTGTTCTCTCTCTCTGTCTCTCTCCTTTATTCTTAGACGAAAAGTATTTATAAACTACTTCTTTTGGCCAACACTCACAAAACACACACAGACCAAGCAAAAATATGAACGATAAGTGGGGGTTCAGGCGGTTTTTAGTCATCTGTCATGGAAAATTACCCCAGAAGGGGGGGAAGCGGCTGCTAAACAGTAACAGTAAATAATGCCAAGTGGAGTTAATTTTTTATTAATAATCGTTTTATGTGTGTGTAAGCGTTTATTTAGTTTACAGCGGGCCCAAAAACCTGACCTACTACAAAGATAGCGGCCCACAGGGAGGTGGGGAGCGAATGAGAGAGAGTGGGAGGGTGTGAGGCGTGGGAGTTGGTCCGGGGCCAGCTGTCAACACTTTACGGTTTACGGGGTATTTTTTTCTGCCGTATTTTTTTAAGTGTTCAAAGTGCAAAAACCCCGCGCTTAATTAGCAGAGCGAAAAAGTTTCTATCACGTGATGGCGCGCTCGAATGCTGCCTGGCACATAAAAGCATGGACAGGCGCGGCCATAAAAGTATATACACCCAGCGGGTATTGGTCAATAGCCACTCGAATCTGACAATTTCACCATTACCCTATATATACATATATACTATATACAGATATTTTTTGGAGCTGTTGTTGCCCACTGCCAGCCGTTTGCCGTCGTGTTATCGGTCAGACCCATTAAAGGGGGCGCTAATCAAGTCCATCGAAAGATTACGGCCGAACAAAAAATGTAGGGGACAGCATTTCGTATGCAAATGCAGTGCACCCACTCTAGTGCCCACCACTGTTCGATACAGTTAGAGTTCCGTTCCCAATCAGAGCAGCCCACCCACACACACACACCACCCCCCTGTGCACATCTCGAGCGCACGAGTGTCAAAAATCAACATGGTAAAGTCAGCATAAATAATAATGAAATGAATTAACGGCAGACCGCAAGAGACAATACAGAGAGAGCGAAAGGGACAGAGCAGCAGAAACAGCTAGAGCGACAGAGAAAGAGAAGCAAAAACAATGTGTATGACATAATAATCACGAGAGCAGGCCGCGAGCGCCGATTAGCAAGTCATGTGATTCGCTTTTATTTACATTTGCGCCTGACGTTGCCGCCGCCGCCCGCTACTGCTCCCCGCTCACCTATCAGCGTACGCCCACAGACCACAGACCAAGCAGAGTGAGCAAGAGAGAATCAGATAGTGAGGTAGAGAGAGAAGGCGCGCACGAGGCGATAACGAAAAGTGTGAGAGAGAGAGAGAGAAAGAGTAAAATAAAACGAAGGGGGCACAGTTGTTTGTGCACGCAGCTCATTCGGGGGCGGGGGAATAGAACATAACATAGCTATCAGTGTGGTTGGTGTTGTTGCTGCCATGACTACCCAATGCACTGCTGGGGGTGGCGTATAAGCCTAGGCTTGCAGTGCGGAGCTTTCCTGATGGATATACAGTAGCTTCGATAGATATTGAACCAATTACCGGGAATACCTTTTTTTTTGGGTAAAGACCAACCTTATCACACTTAGAACACGTTCACTGTATCAATATCAATGCTGTGGTTGCGGCTGCCTACGTGACGATCTCCAATGCACAACGAACATGTTTGTTGGGTTATCGGCCCCGTTTACGCTTTGCCAATTTGCGTACAAAGGGAAGAGGAAGCAACGAATGCAGGTACGGGGAACGGAGCAAGAGAGGAAAGCGTGAAACGCATCATGAGAACGCCCATGTATGTGTGTGTGTGTGTATATTTGCAGCTGTCGTGTGATGACTGCGGCTGCACCTTTTGTTGTTCGCATTTTATCGACAACAAACTCTATGTAATACCGGGTGTTAGGTATGACACACAAACACACACACGGTCCTAAAACCATTTTGGCGTGTGGGTTGTTTGTGTGCATGCAAAGGTGGGGAGGTACATAGGATAGGCAGATAAACACTTACCTTAGATAATTTCGCGAAGTTTGTTTTGTAGCTTTTGCGGACGACGAACTATTGCCGCTGCCAGCAGAGGCAGAGGCATGTGCGGAGGCGGGGGAGGCGTGAGTTGTACGTGACGCCGACGCTGCCGGTAATGATGTTGTTGTTTGGCTATTAATTAGCGCTGCTGCGGTTTGTTGGGACGCGGACGCCGCGTGCGTGGGTGCCGCGGCTGCCGCTACCGTTGATGGGGTTGCTGCTGCTGCTGGTGCCGACGGAAAGAACAGTTTATTCAATAAGGCCATAATAACATACAGTGTGCGCAATCATTTAATAAACACATCTGGCCAATATCCTAACAACAATTTATTGGAAATCACTGTAAATCTTTTCACACACACACACGCACAGAGAGGCACTTTTTCACTCTTTCCTTGGAATGTGTCGGGTGCCGTTAGTTTTTCCAACACGCGCGCGATAGAGACGGAGAGAGAGCGCTAGAGAAAATGATGCCTTGGCTGCCACAATTAAACTTTCGCTTTGCACTTTTCTTTGCATCTCTTTTACACTGCATACACATGTGTATGTATGTCTTGCTGTTGATGCTGCTTCTTCTCTTTCTTTTGCCAAATGATCTCTTCCTGTAGTTGCCGAGTATTCACAGACACAAACACACACTTGGTTATTTATTTGATTGAATGAATATTGCTATTTTTGCTTTGCGTTGCTTTTGCACTCTTTCTGAGCGGCGGAAATCGCTGCTCCACAGGTCTTTACCGTTCCACGCCGAAAAGATCAGTGAGACCCCAAACAACGATCAGTGAGGCCCCAACGTTGGCGTCCGCTTTAAAAAGTTTGCAAGAGGCGCGTCGGTGTCGTTGTCAGAGCGCGTATGCATATGTGTGTGAGAGCGCAGACAGAGAGCCATTGCGATGTGTGTGTGAGAATAACAGTTGCTGCAGCCGCTGGCGGGGGCTACTAAAACTAGCAAGATTTCCCTTTCCCTCCTGCTGACCATCGTCTTGGCTTCTTTCCATGTTGCTGACGCTGAAGCAGCTTTGGCCAATACACAATTTTGTGTGGTTTTGTTTGTTCCTAATCATTTCGCACCCCCTCCAAGCGTCATTTCACACTTTTAGATATTTGGTTGCCTAACACGAAACAAGGCATTGCTTTTTATCACCAATTGCAGCTAAACACTTTGTGGTGGACGTTGTCTATCTATTTAAGACTGTCACAGTTTGTTTATACGCTAAAAATTTCGCTAATTTTATGTTTATTTACAGTCAGTGCAGTGTGACCGCGGATTTGCTGATAAAATATACCGTCTTTGGACCCTTTGGAAATATACCGTAAAGTATATACATATATGTTCACTGTTCACAGTCCCAAAACAACGCATTTTGCAACGTGAAGTTGGCTGCTGTGTATTATCGATTTTCGATACAAAACGTTGCTGTTCCTTTGAATATATTTCATCAAATTTGAACTCAATTTTTAAATATACGTACATATAGAGTGAGAATTAACTTTTAATTGTTGAACTTTATTTGTTGTTGGCTTACAATATACATAATTCAAAATGTTTTAGGCCCACATGCGAATGAAATGTGGGAAATTGGTTTTACATGAATAGAATTCACCATTTTTATAAATTCTTACAATTTTCTCTTCACTTAACCTTAACTGGAACCGAGAGCGAAAGTAGAAAAACATTCAATTTCTTAAACAGTAGCGTGTATTGTTGTTGTTTTAGTTAAATATTCGTATGCGTGTGTGTGGGTTTGTGTGTATGTTCTGCCTAGGAATTTCGATATTATTATTAACTTTTTGAGAGAGATTTTGATCAAATAGTAGAACATACAGATATACATATTAACCATATACACATGCATATATATATATATAATAACATATATGTATGCGCATATATATATATAGTAGTTGAGGCGACTTGGCGTCGCTCCACGGGGGTGGCAGGAGGAGGAGGAGGAGTAGGAGTAGGTGGCTTACAATGTAGGGATTTTCCTTTCGTTTCAATTTCATTTCATAATTGGGGGCGTTTTTCTTTAGTTTTCTTTTCACTTTCGTTAAACTGGTTGCATGCATGCGTGCGTGTGTGTGTGTGTGAGCGAATATATATATTTGTGTGTGTGTTTGTGTGTTGTGTGAGAGAGAAGGGGGGGAAAATAAGTCATGACAATAATTGGAGCAAAACGGGTGCAGAGGAGAGCAATCCAAATCCCGTCTGCTGCTCCTACTCCTTGTATGTGGAAGTGTCCATGGGGCTGGCCGGCTGGATGAAGGCCGTGGCCGAAGCACTGGGCTGGTTGGTGGGCGTAAAGGCCGACAGCGAGGAGTTGCTGCTGCTGTTGACCAGATTGCCGCCGGACGAGTTGTTCAAGCTGATGTTCATCAAATTGGACGACGAGGACGAGGCACTGGACGCACCGCCCACGCCCACGCCCAGCTGGTTGTTCAACGAGAGCAGTCCCCCGCCACCAGCCAGGAAGGTAGAGCTGCCACCGCCGACGCCGCCACCCGATGGCTGGGCGCCCAAACTTAATCGTTCGCTGTTCGAGAGAAAGCCGCCAGCAGCATTCCCCCCGGCCGATGCATTGGGCCCCAGCATGCCAATCAGGGGATTTGTGGTGGTCAGCACATTGGGTGCGGAAGTGTTCAGGCCCAGCATGGGCGTTGGCAGTGCTGGCTTGATGAAGCGCTCGCTGGCCCTACGATTCTGCCAATGGGAAAAAGAGTCAGAGAATGTCCCCAAAAAGGAACGCTGCGATCGTGCTCCACTTACCACTAGTTGGCCGCAGGCATAGCAACGGTTCTGGCCCGCTGTGCCCGGACTGAGGGGACGACTGCTCGACGGGCTGTGGGAGACGGGACTGCTGATGGTGCGCTGTCGCTGGGCGTTCACCGCCGAGGCCGCAGAGTTGCCGGCCATCAGGCTCTCGTTGTAGAAGCGCTCCTCATCCATTTCGAGCGACGACTCGGACTCGGAGAGATGCCGACAGAGGGCCTCACGGCGCTCCACTTCCTGCTTGAGCTTGCGCTGGAGACGGGCGTTCTCCTCGCGTATGGACTTCTCCTCCTGTGCGAATTGTTGCATTTTGATTGTGGTCTCCTTCTGGGCGGCAGCGAAATTGGCGCGCAGACGCAACACCTCCGAGCGCAGCGCCTGTATGTGGGAGCTCAGATGGGTGGCGGTGTCCCCGCCATTGGCATTGATGGTGATATCACGTGGTGTGGTCGGATCGGACACCGGCTGATCGAGCTTGATCTGCAGCGAACGCTTCTCCGTCTCCAGCTTGTCCATGCGCTTCCACAGCTTATTGACCAGCGCCTCCTGCTCCTGCTCGAGTGTGTTCTCCAGCTCGACCATTTCGCGGCGCAGCTGCTCGAGATTGGTCTGCTTGTTGTCCGTCTCCGCTTGCAGCTTCTCGATCTTGCGCATCAGCTTATTCACGAGGCACTCCTGCTCCTGCTCCAGGGTCTGCTCCAGCTTGCACTTCTCCTGGCGCAGCTGGTCCAGTTTGCGCGACAGATCGTTGGTGAGGCACTCCTCCTCGCGCTCATAGTGATGGGCGAGCGTCTCCTTTTCCTTCTTCAGAGCTTGGATCTTCTTCAGCAGCGTGTTTGAGATGTACTCCTCCTCCTGCTCGGCTTTGGCTTGCTGCAGGACACAGGACACAAGTGGACAAATATTAGCAATTAATGGTATGGTGGTATATACTGGTTGGATACTCACAATTATGACCGAGGCTTGCTTCAGGCATCGATTCTCCTCCTGCACCACTTTGCACTTGGTCTTGAACGTGTCCAGTTCCGCTTTCAGCACTCTGGAAACCAAAAGGTGGCACATCAGTAATCTAAACGGACTGCGGGCAGGGCAGGGCATGTCTACTCACTTGTTCTGTTGGGTGAGCGACTCGATGCGCTTCTGTAGCTGCTCCCGCGACACTGGGCTGGGCGGCAGCATGGTGCCGCCATCCAGCGAGCTCTCCGACTCACAAGGACTCTCCATAGCTGCAATAAATAGAGAACTGGCCAGCCCAGAGGCCAGCACTGACGTCAGAAGAGGTGGCGCTGGTGGTGGTGTTTGGCTAGCGTTCGAAACTCATTAAAAAATTAAGCATATGCAATTACAAGAAATAATATATGCGTTTATTCAGTTCTGCTTCTTTTTGCTATATATTTCGCTTTTGTTCTTTATTCTCCTTCGTCGTCGCTCGTTGTGGTCGTTGTGGGGGCAAAACAAAGAACTCGGGGACGACGCTGCCACTGCCACTGACACTGCTGCTGCCACTGCTGCTGCTGGCTGCAGATGCATCTGGCTGTGTGTTGGCCCTGATCGAAATTGTTTAACCTTCAGTTGTGATTTGTGCATCTGCTGTGCGGATTTGCTGCCTCTCCTGGTGCAAAATTTCGGAAATCGATAGAAGGGCAAGGTCAGGCCACAGTTCAGGGCAGCAGTTGCCAGACGAGGCGAGACTCTGTGGCAGCATGTGGGGCACACCCCCCAACTACTACTCCCCATAATCTATGCGACGCCGGCAGCAAAAAGGGAGAAAAACGCAAAAAGATCCCTACCCCCTCCCTATCTACTACATATTGGATCGCTCGGGTCGAGGGGGGGGTCTATATTTGTTCATGCGTTGTGTTTTTATTACCTGGCTTTTGTTGGGCGCTGCTGGTGACGCCGCTGCTTTGCTTTGCCTTAAAAGACTTTGCCGTCTTTGCGCCCCTCCTCCTGTTTCCACTTATGCTACTGCTGCTGCCTCACGGTGTTGCCTGCGATTCGTGGTGCCCAGGCGTTCTTGCGGCTTTCACTGGCTGCACAAACTAATTTGCACCTTTCCTCTGCACGGAATAGGAGCCGCGCTTATCGACAGGTGGCATTTAATTTTTACAATGAACAATCTTTTTTTTTTGTGAGAAAACAACATAAAACGAATGTGACGTCGTGTGGCGTTGCCAGACTCGTGCAATTCGTAGTTGCTGCGGGGTGCCATACCATGATATTTTGTGACAATATATTCCTCGATTTTGATATTCCGTTTAATATTACTAGCTAGTTGGCCCTCTCAGCCCTAAACAAATAATTTTATGCAATTCATCAATAAATTTTGTTTAGGATTGGCTAGTTTTCAGAACTATTTTTAATGGGATTGTTTGGATAATAGGGTTCAAACAAAAACGGCCAAAGCATAAAACGTAAATGTTGACTAAATGTGACGTCAGTGTTGCTGGTCAACCAAGTTTCTTCTATGCGTAAGGACTTTTGTATACCGTATATCCTTCCTTATTAATGTTAAATTTGTTGTTCCCAGTTCCATTGAGACATTAATAATGATTTTGTCTTAGATTGACATGTTTTTTACCCATTAATGCATTATCCCGGTTCTGATACCTATTATTGATACCCGTGAGCTGCTTTCGTTAATAACTTTAAAAACAGAGACTGAGTAGTTTCTGTATTAATTGGAGCACGAAATTACCAACAATATCTTTATTCTATAATATCCATTTTCCCAAGGTATGCAGATTGTTGCTCATTCCGATCCAAGGTTGCAGAACAATGCTGCAAATTCATTTCCACATGCTGCTGAATTTTTTCCCATACAAATCAAATGTATCTTACGGAAACGCGTATGGAATGACGCAACAATGAATCTTCATTCCATACGCGTTCCCGTAAGATACATGCTGCTCACACCACGAAAAGTCACCACGAAAGCGCTCTCTTCACCTCTGAAAAGAGAGCAAATTTTGAAACGCTCTCCGGACTCATTTCCGCCGCAAGGATAAGGAAGTCACAAAATCCAGAGCGTTCAAGAAATATACCCACCTCACCACATAACTCACCGTGCTGGATTTTGTGCTTTCGCGCAAACATGGTATATTTATTCCATCGCGGCTAGGGTGAGGTCCTTACGAGGCCCTTAAAAAAAGTTTGGCCGTCTTAATACTGGGGCCATACCTTGCCATGACCCAGTCGAAAGAGAGCACTCAAAACGCTCTCCGGACTCATTTCTGTGTTTAATTGTGAGCCACTATCGATAGTATCGATATTTTGATACGTTTTGTGGCGCTGCCAGACTCGTGCAATTCGTAGTTGCGGGCTGACACCATGATATTTTGCTACCCGTTTCATTACCGATTCGCTTTGAACCGATCTGGCAGTCCTAAAAACAAAAGTAGGTAAAAAATAAGAAGATAAATTTTCCGCAAATAGGAAGAAGAAGAGCCTCTGTGCAAAGCAGAATGTGACCTTATACGTGACATATATGGACGTATATATGGAACTGCCAACTTGTTTTTGTGAATTGTGAATGTAAATCGTGACTGAGAATTTCCTGTGATTCATGTGATTTTTGTTTTTATATTTGATTTAGGTCTACAGACAAATTAATTCATGTCAATCTAAGAAAAATTCACTGTTGTTTCTAAGCAGCTTGCAACAACAACTATAACATTAATTAAAGGAAATAGGGTATACAAAAGCCCATACGCTGGTTGACAAGGCGGCAATGACGTCACATTTCGTACACACTTACGTTTTATGCTTTGGCCGTTTTTGTTTGAATCTTATTATGTTAACAATCTAATAAAAGGGAGTTCTGAAAATAAGCCAACCTAGTAAAAAATTGATTCATAAATTATATAAAATTATATTTTCAATGCGATAGTCTTAGCTGACTAGTAATATTAAACCGAATATCAAAATCGGGGAATATCAACGCATCTTATCGTGTCCGTCGGTATATTTACGGTATATTCTAAAAATGATATGGTATATTTCGGTATATTTCTGAGTGTCAGGCGGTATATTTTATTGATAAGTCTGGTCTGTCTGTCCTCTGGAAACACGTGCAAAAAACCAAAACAGCGTAAATTGATTGAAATTTGGTGATTTCCTGCAACTATGGCGGATCACGCGTTCCATCGTCCGGGGCCGCTAAAGCAGACAAATAAGGTGCACAAAACGGGCCGTCATCGCTCCAAGGGAGCCATCGAGAATGCAACGAAAGGTAAGCGGGCGCCACAAGTGTGAATGCGGAGTACAGAAACTAACAAAAAATATCCTAATCGCAGGCAAAGTGGGTCTTAAGGCCATCTCGCACCGGCACAAGCAGCAGCAGCGCCGGGAGCAAAGACGCAACCAGCAGAATCAGCTGCGAAAGAACAAACGCGATGAGGTGCTGGAGCAGAAGCGGAAGCTTGGGGGCCAGAACACAGCACCGTTTCTGGTGTGCCTGCTGCCCATGCACGAGCAGATCGATCCCAAGTCGGCGCTGGCCATCCTCGAGGGCTGCGACAGCGAGCTGGTGGTGGAGAGCTCCCCAAGTGGGATTACCTACATGAATCTGCCGCGCTTCAAGCAGCGTTTCGCCTTCGTCACCCCGCCCGTGGGACGCGGCAACGAGCTGATTGTCCTGGACTACCTAAAGGTGTGCGACACAACGCTGCTGCTGACATCGGCCGCCTTTGGCGACGACGAGATCTTTGACCGCTGGGGCCAGCGCATGTTCAATATGATCTCCGCCCAGGGCATACCCACGCCCCTGGTGGCACTCATGGATCTGGAGTCACTGAATCCCAAGCGTCGTCCTGCCAGCAAGCAGGCGGCACAGAAAATCATCTCCAAGTTGCTGCCCGAGGAGAAGCTGATGCAGTTGGACACCGCCGCCGAGGGCCTGAACGTGATGCGTCGCATCGGGGGACAGAAGAAGCGCATCCTGCACAACGTGGAGAATCGGCCGCATCTCTTCGGTGACATTGTGGAGTTTAAGCCCAGTGGCGAGGCAAGCGACGATTTGGGCACACTGGAGGTGACTGGATACCTGCGTGGACAGTCGCTGAATGTCAATGGACTGGTGCATATTCCCGGACTGGGTGACTTTCAGGTGGGTCAGGTGGTTGCACCGCCAGACCCGTACAAGCTGGACAAGTCACGGGATGGTGAGAATGTGGCAGTGCGACTCCTCGATCGCAGTGATCCGCTGAAGCGGACCTCGCTGCAGAGCGAGAACATACCCGATCCGATGGACGCAGAGCAGACGTGGCCCACCGAGGAGGAGATCGAGGCCTCCCAGAAGGAAACCAAAAAGATGAAGCTGGTCAAGCGTGTGCCCAAGGGCTTCAGCGAGTACCAAGCGGCCTGGATACCCGACATCGAAGAGGTGGAGGACCCAGACAAGAACGAGGGCGACGATGACGATGACGACATGAGCGACGATGATGAGGAAGATGACGAAGACGAGGACTTCATGTCGTGTGACAACAAATCGTTCGAGGATGAATGCGAGAAACGCGACTCGGACACGGAGGAGTTCCAGGACAGCGTCTCAGTGTCCTCAGAGGCGGCAGTCAATGACGAAAAATACGACCAGCAGATGGACTTCCAGGAGGAGCGTGAAACCATGCAGAAACTGCAGCAGGCACGCACCGATCAGCTCTGGCCCGATGAGATAGACACGCCGCTGGATGTGCCCGCCCACGAGCGATTCCAGAAGTATCGCGGACTCGAGTCCTTCAGGACATCGCCATGGGATGCCAAGGAGAATCTGCCCAGCGACTATTCTCGCATTTATCAATTCAAGAATTTTGATCGCACCAAGAGGCGGGTTCTGGCCGAAGCCAAGGATTTCGAGGGTGTTCTGGTAAGCTTCTTATTCTGATACACCCCCGCCATGGAGTCCCTTCTAATCTCGGATCTCTTCCATGCAGCCTGGTTTCTACATCACGCTCCATGTGATCAATGTGCCCGCCAGCCGTTGGATCGCCTTCAAATCCGCCCAGCTCACGGACAACATCATTGTGTATGGCATGCTGCCGCACGAGCATCAGATGTGCGTTATGAATGTCGTGCTGCAGCGCATGCCCGACTCTGAGGTGCCGCTCAAGTCCAAGGAGGAGCTGATTGTGCAGTGCGGCTATCGCCGCTTTGTGGTCAATCCCATCTACAGCCAACACACCAACGGGGACAAGCACAAGGTGAGAACTGATCTCTCTATCCCTCTGATTTCCCTGCTAATGCTTGATGATATTTCCAGTTTGAGCGCTACTTCCGACCGTATGAGACAGTTTGCGCCACCTTTTATGCCCCCATACAGTTCCCTCCTTCCGCTGTGCTGGCCTTCAAAGTGAATCCCGACTCGACGCTGGCGTTGGTGGCCCGCGGACGCCTCATCTCGTGCAATCCAGATCGCATTGTGCTGAAGCGCGTCGTTCTCAGTGGCCATCCCATGCGCATCAATCGCAAATCGGCCACGATACGCTACATGTTCTTCTACAAGGAGGATGTCGAGTACTTCAAGCCCGTCAAACTAAGGACCAAATGCGGACGATTGGGTCACATCAAGGAGTCGCTGGGCACGCATGGCCACATGAAGTGCTACTTCGATGGTCAGCTACGTTCCTACGACACGGCCTTCATGTACCTGTACAAGCGCGTCTTCCCCAAGTGGACCTACGAGGAGTGCCTGGTGCGCACGGCGGAGAACGAGCGCGAACAGGCGGCGGTAAACAGGAGAATCGAACAGCAGCAGCAGGTAGCCATGGATATGTAGAGTGTACGCTTCGTTATTTTATAATAGGAATAATAGAATTATATTCACAAACAATTGTCTTAACTTAAGGTAGAGAAGGCAATACACAATATACATACATAAAACATGGGATACGATTAAAAGCTTAGCGCATTGCACACAGATCGATCGACCAGGAGGAGAAAGAAGGGCTAATACAGATTTCTGGCTAGGATTTGGTAGTGGGACATTACTATTGTACTGGGTTGGGGCTGATGGCAGGGGGTGTGGTGTGTGGTGTGTATTCAGTAATTAGTGGACAAACATTTGCGTCGCTTCTTTTGCAGCTGCTCGATCTGGTCGGTTATTTGGATGGGTGTCTGGAAACCTGTGACAATGCTATTCACCGTGAGGACCGTGGCTATAAATTGACTGATGGATATGTGCCAGGCCTCGGTGGTGTTTGTGCTGCTGCTGCTGCTATTCCTGCTGCTGTTGGTGGCCTTCCCGCTCGCCTGACGCAGCTCCTCCTCGAGTGCCACAAACAGACGGGTGGTGCTGCTCTGCTCTGCTGCTGGCGTTGTCGGATTGCCATTGCTATCCGGTTGCTGTGGAGCACATTTACACAGGATTATTCAGCCATACTTCGGCTACGATTAAGCATTGGCTCACCTCATCGCCGCTGCCGCCCAAATTGAGTTGGGTAAAGCTCTCGAGGCTGGGTTCCTTTTTGATATTGCTGCTTCCCAGCTCCAGCAGATTCGCATCTATAATGGAAAAGAGCTTGAAAATGCAACCGAAAATTGCTGGTGCTATCTGGCCATCACTTACATGCCATTCGCATCTCTTCGTCCTGCACACAGCCCATGATCTCGATAATGCTGCGCCACAGCAGCTGGAAGTTCTCCTTGCGCATGTGCGGAATGGTTTGATGCGGGCCCGCTGCCCCCTCATCGGGCTGGTCCAGCAGATAGCCAAGGCTGCCCAGGCTGCGGGAGTCGGTGGCATTCGAGTCGGCTCGATCCAGGCGCGTGGCAGCAACCAGGTCACTGATCTGTGAGAAATTCGATATAGTCTCGACATTCAGAAGCATTTTATCGGCTGCAGCAGCCGCAGCAGCAGCAGCAGCGGAAGCTGAGGCTGCTCCAGCTGTCGCTCCCAGCGGCGGTGTCATTCGTGCCGCTCCCAAATCTGAAATATCCGAAAATGTGTCAATCGATTCGTAACGTCCCTGCTGGCGTAGGCCGATCTCTTGGCCGTCGTCATCCCGCCCAGCATCGGAGCGTGTTGCAGTTGTAGTACCCGGGAGAGCTGCTGCCGGCATATCCACATAGAATGTCGAATTTCGCTGCGCCAGCGAGGAGGTGTTGGAATTCAGCGATAGATTGGGCGTGTTGCGTGATAGATCCATGAACGTATTGCCCGATATTCCAGCCAGATTATGCAAATGCTGTGTGGCGCTGATCAGAGCAAAGTCATCGGCATCGAATTGGTGATCCGAGGGCGAGGGCAACGCCTCCATCGACTCGGAAGCATCGTCGCTACAAAGGGATTTATTATCAATGGATCCCTTAAAAAGGCACAGTTGGCACTCACTCAAAGAAATCTTCGGCCTCGAAGGCCTCCTCGGCATCGTCTTTGGTGCGTGGACGCGGACGCCGGGATCGTTCGATTTCCGCCTTGGATAACAGCGGCGGCAAATGCAAAACAAAAAGCAATTTCAGTTTCTCCACGCTCTGGGCGGAGCATACCAAGCCCAAGGCATTGATAAGCTGTCCAAAATCCAGATATCCCGTGCCCTTCTTGTCTGTGAGCTGCAAACACACACACACACACAGAAATGAAAGAATAAATCTGACTGCAGTTTCCACGTTCCTCGTCTTACCCTGAACAACTTTTCGCCAATGTCCACGCTGACACACTTCCGCCAGGGAGTCAGCTCTGTGAAGAGTGTGTGGAATACCTCATAGCTAACACAGTAGGCCTCATGCCTGCCATTGCCGCAGCCGCCGCCGCCACCGCCAGGAACAGGGTCAGTCGCGACCTTAGTCGGCGATTGATGCACCAGCAGCTGTGGCGTCTCCGAGAGCGAGCACTGTGCCTTCTGCTGCTGCTGCACGGACTTGAGGGCGTGCTTCTCCTCACGTATGATTGTGAGCAGCATGTGCAGCTCATTTCGATCGAAGTAGGGATTCTGTAGATAGGCCTTGACGATGGTCTTCTCGTTGTCAATGTCAAACTGCCGCATAGTCAGGCGGCGATGCTTGTTGCGCAGCTCCTCGATGCGCTGCTGGGTCAGCTCCTCGCCAAACTTTGTGTACGCCTCGTGGATGAGCGTTTGGACGGTTTGCGTCTGTGAGCGCTCCATCTTACGCTTGTCCGTGGAGGGTGGCACTTGATAGTCGGGATTGTAAATGCCCTCCAGATAGCTTTGCAGCACCAGCATGGCCTCGCCATCGTCCTGGCACTTGAGCAGCTGGTCGCGATTCCATTCGATGATCTGCAGAGCCACCATGAAGATGATCTTGGCGCCCTCGTAGAAGAAACAGTCGAGTATGTGCAGCGAGCTCTCGTAGCTGATGACACTCATGAAGATGGTGAGGAACCACGATATGGAGATCATTTTGATGACGCCCAGCTGCTCCAAATGCTCGTGCAGATCGGCCAGATGCGTTTCGACCAGTTCATTGAGCACGCCCTGGTCAATCTGGGCGCCCACCACCTTGTCCTTGTAGTAGTCCGGCAAGAGATTCTCGCACAGGCTGGCCAACATCCAGAAGGCGTTCTCCTCGTCACAGAACAGCAGAAATACCGACGAGACAATGTTCATGGCCTGGCAGTAGCCCACCTGCGGATTACGCAGGGCATAGGCCTGAAGCACCCGTCGCAGTGCGCCGATGCCGTCTGTGCTTTGGAATGCCGGATGCTCGGGCAGCGAGCGGGGCAGATCTCTGTCGATTTCGTCGTGCGCAAAGCAATCCTTAATGCAGGCGGCCTTCTCCACCAGATCCTCGTACAAGCCGGGATTCATTTCCTTGTCGTGAATGGCACCGGAGAAGATCAGCCAAATCTCCTGACGCAACTGGTCCGGTATGCCCTCCACAATGAGATTTATGACATCGGTGGTCCGAAACATGCCAATGCCGCGTCCAAAGTCCCGGAAATGCGCCTCCCAACGCACCATCTTCTCCTGCTGGTTCTTGATGATGTCTGCACTGAACTGTGTCTTGAATGTGTTCATCAGGGCCGTCTGCTTGCTCCACGAGATGTCATACTTGGCACGCTCCCGACTCACGGGGCTGCAACAGATACAGACAAAGAGACCATGAAATGGCGCACTATTCGAATGCAAATGGGCTGAGAGACTTACACATGAATGCGGGAGAGAAGATCTGTGATTTTGGAGATCAGCACCTCTCTATCCAGGATCTGGGCAAACATGAAAGGCACATTCTCCGACGTGATGATGACAATTTGATTGTCAAAACGCTGCTGCCCATCGTCCTTCTTCTCCACGCTCTGCAATGTAAAACAATCAATGAAACGATGCTGCAGTGAGGCACCAAACGGTGCTCCGCCCCCTTACCTTAATCGTTTTCATGGGTATGACCACACTGACCAAGTCCTTGACATCGCTGCGGAAGCAAAAGAAATTGGGCGACAGATAGATGTAGCCAGCATTGAAGCGCTTCGAGTAGGGTGTCCAAATGTTCGCCTTGATCTTCCCATCGATTATCTCCGTTTGTGGCAAGCGGAAATAGATGCGAAACTCCTCGGACTTCTGGCGGGCTGTCAGATCTCTGAGCAGCACTGGTTTCTTGGATGCCTTGGTGCCCAGTCGGGCAAAGTTCGAGGGATCATGGTCGACCACCGGACTCTCTGGATCCTGGATCAACTGTTGTATGGCCATTTTGTTGAGCTGTTCAATCAGTAGATGTGCCTCGCCGGCATTGAAGATCAGCGTGAAATTGTACGTCATATTATTGGTGGTCTTCAAGTAAATCGTATTTGCATTCCGGCTGATGTCCTCCAGCTCGGCGAAGCGTATTATCCGCTTAATCTCATGGCCCAGCATATACGAGAAGAAGCAGACGTGATTCAAGGAGATGTACAGCTGACCCTGTCGTGGTATCTTGTTCTTCACATATCTGCAGATGGGAAAAATAATCAATTTAGATTCGATTTGAGGCATCCACAGTTTGCCCGTTAGCCTTACGTGGCCGAGTAGGAGTTGACCAGACGCTCTTCCTCCGGCATTTTGAAGGTTTGTCTAAACTGTGAGGTCATCACCATAAAGTCGGCCGTCTCTCCAGTTTCATCTTGATTATTTTGCGTATAGAGCGATTTGATTTTGCATATGGTAAAGTTGGTAACTTCGTCCTCGTTCTCCATTTCGTTGAGCACACTGAAGAGATTCGCCTGCAGCCATTCCCAGTCTTTTGCAATCTCATCCTGTGTTATTCCAATGGCGATTTCTGTGGGGTATTCCAATAAAACGAAGCTGTGTAATCGCAATTGTTTCACATTGCAATTGCATAAGAGAATCTTAGAGCCGTAGGCGAAAAACAATGAGTTGTATGGGGGCCCCTGGCTGTATACAATACACCCATAAAAAGCAGAGAAATCAACGCCAGGCCATGACTCATGTGCCAGCCTCTGGCGCACATGGCAAGGCCACTGATAAGGTGGGCCACAGATTCGATTCCCACTTGAACCTACCGTAAGAAACTTCCGAGGACGGTGTCCGGTGTACAATTCGATACGGAGGCGGCTTGGTGTTCCATACACTGTCGTAGGTGCCCACCAGCATGGACCCAAAGCCTCGCGACTCGCCGTGGCCGCGACGTTTTTGCATCACGAAGTACCTGGAGTACATTTCGGCAATCCTGTGGGCGGCAGAAAAATGGGAGTAAAAAACCAGATGCAATTCAAAGGAGCAGGGGGGCATGGGTGGCATACAGCATTCATGGTGCATGTGTGCGTGTGTGTGTGTGTGAGTTCTTCGGGTGGGCTGGGTGGTTTCTTCTACGCAGCGCGAAACACAGTTGGCAATCAATTTTCAAGCTACCGATTTTGCACTCGGCCCGCCGTGTGTGTGGGCACAGCTGTTTTTCCGCAGGAAATTGCGTTGTGAAATCAGAGCAGAATCGAAGAGGCCGCCGCTGAGCCACCCTGGCGACTTGAACCCTCTCAATTAGTTATCAACAAAGAGCGCCAATACCATTAAATACAAATAGTTGACTCGTTTATGCGTAGCCACTGTACGTGAGCTAATGCACCGTTCCTCATGATGTGCATCGCGATCAACCGTTTCCATGATACATCTTCCATAAACATAGCACTGCATACACACGCACACATACCAGCACAGCACTCTAGTTGGTGTTTAATTTAAGCATCGGCATCTCGCCACACCACCCCCCACAGGCCGCAGAGACCATAAAGGGGATTGAAAAACTTACCAAAACGTCGACGGCAGCAGCAACTCCTTCGGCTCAATCCACATCTTGCTCTTGTTTAGCCTATTTGAGGGCTAGCACAGTCGGAGAAACAAAATTTCGTCTTTGTTTAATACTGCATTCGTCGATTTGTTGTTGCCGAGCTGTAAAACCTATCGATGTACCATCGATACGTAGAATTTTTTCACTATCGTCAGATGACACTCGTTCTGGGGGTTCATGAAATTGATTGTGAATAAATTAAGGAAATCAACAAAAATAATTAATTCCCTTCATTCTTAGGCCAGGTCTGACATTTTTTTTGTCCCAAATAGTGCGTTGAAAACAACCGCACATGGTCCGACACATCGTTGAGCACAAGAGTACCCCTACTGTACCTATCGATGTTTCCGAAGTTGGCGCGTGTTTGTATGTTTTTTGTGTGTCATAACGGTTAATGTCAATCTTAAAGTTTTTCGTCATTCGTGTGGTGTGTGTTTATTTGAAACGAAACGAAATAAAAACGTGCCGTGTACAAAATTTTAAGTGAATAATTATTTTTATTACCAAATTGTCTGTGTCTTTACAAAAATGCTTAAGAAGTTCGTGGAAGTCAATGCGGAGGAGAGCCCCTCGGCCAATCCGTACGAAGTGCGGACGTACATGGGCAACGAGATTCCAGAGGTCGAATGGAACACCGAGACCTGCCCCCCTCGCGAACGCGTGTGCCCAAGAAAGCCTCCAAACTCCACAATATCGCAGGTTCTCACCATCGAAGATGAGATTCGACGCATCCACCAAAGGACGGAGGAGTCGCGTTTCGCGCATCCCGCCAAGAAGACCTGCGCCCCTTACGACGAGTTTCCCATGTGCGTGGTGCCGCAGCGAACGCCGGCAGAGCTGCGAACCCATGCCGAGATGCGTGAGCGTCTGCTGTTGGCCCGCAAGGACTATGGCCTGGTCGAGCACGATGCGCGGACTCGCAGAACCTGCCCCAATGATCTTGTCGTCCTCAACAGCCCCATGAACATGGGCGAGGAGGAAGAGCAGCCGGAAGAGGGCGAGGAGGAAGAGGCGGAGGTGAAGCCACAACTGGCATCGCCCGAGTGCAGCTCGAACATGATCATTATACCGGATAATCGCATGGTGAGCTAAATCTATATAAGTAATTGTATTTGTTTCATGGCTGGACTCTTAGGCTAACAGAAGCGTGGCTTTAATGTAGATTTAAGATTAGTTTTGGTATTCCTATTCGATCAACTCTATGTCGTCAATGTCCGCGTAGATGCTGCCCGGCGGCAGCTCCGGCATGGAGTTGAACCCCTCCTCAGAGCCTCCTTCAGCGCCGCCTGTGGCCAGCGAAAATGTGCGATAGGCACCGTTTGTGGCCTGCTGCTGCATGTGCACGCCCAGCTGTGAGATCAGCTCCAGGGCCTGTATGTCAGAGTTCATCAGAGCAAACTGGTGTATGATGGCCAGGTGGGGGAAAACACCGTTGAGTAGAGTGCTGGTGCCGGCATTAATTTGCATGCTGTCCGAAGGATCCTCCTCTGGTGTGTCCTGATCCGTGACATCGGGCGAGGCAGCCGGAGAGAGCAATACGCTGGGCTCACAGGTGACCTCCTCCACATCGTCCTCATCGAAGCGCTCTGGCCCAGTGTCGGACATCAGGCTGTTCTCACTCGATAGGTTGACCAAGTCCTTGCCGGCATCCCCATCGGTATCCTGCAGCTCCCTTTGCATGAAATTGGGCAGCGCATGCTTAAACTCCACAATAATCTCCTCGACAGGCAGCTCCTGGGTCACACTGTCGCCTCCCTGATAGCCCAGGTCGTCCGCCTCGTACTTGTACTTGCCGCGGAACCGGTTCAGCCAGCGATAGGAGGGCCGAAAGCTGGGCAAATTCAGCACGGCTGCCATCTTCATGGACGTTTCTTTTAGCTTCTGGTTGCGTATACTGATGCTTAGGCGCAGCTGGCGGCAGCGCTTGACCCACTCGTGGAGCAGAAAGCTGATGGCGCTCATCTCGAACTTGCGACGCTTTCGCGTCATCTCCTCGATGATGGTGGAGGCATCCGCCTCGCTAAGCGTGGCCAATTGCTGCAGCAGCTCCTGCTTCTTGTCCAGGATGCGACGTATCTGCGTGGCACAGCAATGGAACATCTTGGCCAGACTGTTCCTGGAAATGTTTGTCTCATCGTAGTAGCGTATGACGGCGATCTTCTCGTAGAAGGTCAAAATGTTGCGCTCATTGCGTCGCGATTTTGGCTGTGGAAAGATAATTCAATGTTCATTTTAAACATCCCACTGTGCCACGCTAAAAATATGCATGTGTGCAAATACACACATATATGCACAAAGTACAAATGCATGTGCCATTCGGTCGCGTAATTGTCTGGCGAGCGCGTGTGTCATAAGCAAATGCCCCGGAAACCAACCCTCGGAGCGGCTTAAAGGCCAAGTTAAATCAGACGCCACAGACTTACCCCTTTTTGGTTATTGACTGTCGCTGCTGCCATGGCTGCCATTTCAATTGCAATAAATTTGTATTTATTTTCCTTCCTTTTCTGTGCACTCTGCACTCGGGTTTTGGTTTACCGCTTATTCCTTAACTGCGCAGCAGCAAAAGCAAAAAGCCAATTGCGCTGCTATTGCCGTCTCTCTCGAACGCAAAGAAGCGGCAGAGAGCGTGCAAAAGAGATGACCAGAGAGGTGGGACTGGGACTAGACTCCTTTTACGGCTGCAAAGAGAAATAAAACAATTATTTATTTGTTCAATCCAAATGCCAGAGCATTGTTAGTCACTTTTATTTGTTGTGTTTGTTTCTCAGCGAATGCGGCGCGACACGTAGCGCTCTGTGCTGCTTCTATTAGCCTATTGTTGTTTGTGCGCTGACATTTTTACAATTACTGAGTAATAACACTTGTGCCCCTGTTTTTTTTTTTTACGGTTTCAGCTTTCAGTCTGTCTGTCTGCCTGCCCTGCCCTGCTTCTGTGTGTGTGCGTTTGTTTGTACGTTCTGCTGGCTCTCCTCTCACCATATGAAATAAAAACGGTTCGCTATGCCCACAGAGCCACGACACGAGAGTCTTGTCCCTGTCGCTTTGTTGCTTCGCTGCTGCTGCTGCTGCTGGCTGGCTGGCTGGCTGTTCTGTTGTTGTAGCAACGGGCGTCAGAAATGCGGCAAAGAGGAACGATAGGCAGGCAGCGTCGTGGTCGTCTCACTCACACACACACACACACAGACACCTTTATGTGATTGTTTGTATGTATGTTGATACATTTGCAGCTGTTACTGTTGTTGTTTTTGTTCGTACTGGGCATATTGCATATGCATGTATGCATATGTGTGCATATGCATATGTGTACGAGTATTGCATTTGCAGTGCGCTGCCGCTGTCAACGCTGGCGTCGCGACGCTCTTGCTGAATTTTTCGTTTCATTTGTGTTTTTTTCCGATTGTTTTCTATGGGCGCAGGGTGCAAACGGGGGTCATACTTAGCGGGTGGGGTGGTGGGAGAAGGATATGCCATACGTGCGTAATTTAACACTAATTTTATAGCAATAAACCCGAGAATGGCAGGATAAAAGCTTTTGTAACTACATACTCATAACATCAGGCCATTGTTTGATGATGATTTAAAATTCACATCGGAATTGTATCTTATAACAAACAAACACAACGTTGTAGTTTGCAACGTTCAGTAATTAAATTTCTATTCTGACCGATCGTTACTATGGCAAGTTCCTTAGTTCCTCTGCTTGGGCACTCTATAAAAAGAAGATGTTTAATTGCGGATAGAAATTGAGGGTTCAGAGTGCATACAAACAGACAGACAGACAGACAGACAGACAGACAGACAGACTGATGCTGATTATCATCATCAGTAATATAAATCCCATACAGGGTGGAAAATGCATCCTTCTCGCGAGTTTAGAAATCAGTGTACCCTCCAGTGTACACAGTCTGTTTATCTGCAGAGCTCTTCAGTCGCCGTACACCTTTAGTCCGTAGAGCACTTACTAAGCTAATTAACTTTCCGCCGTAGATAAGACCCCTGGCAAACAATGTGGGTGTGTGTGTGTGTGGAGGGGGTGTGGTGTGTGTGCTCTCTCCAGACACGAATATGAAACAATTCGATTGATATTGATAGAAAATAAACGATTTAATGTTTTATGGGCGTTCCATTGAATGAGCCTTATCAAACAGAAAACCGGGACTAACCCAGTGTGAATCATCTGCAGGTGCTGGTGGAGTCCAGACCCCTTCTGGAAAACATGTTTCTACGCCGCTGTGCACTGCCATTGCTTTTCCCTTCAATGCGCTTCAACAACGGCCAAGTACTTCTGCGACACAGTGGCGCCCCGTCAGCATTGCTCTCTGTTTGACTGTGTGTGTGTGTGTGTTTGGGTGTGTGTGTGTGTGTGCTGGTTATGGCCGCCTTGTTGGCAGCTTCGTCAGATGCGACTGCGACTGCTTTTGGCTGTTGCACCTGCATCTGGCCGCCAACAATTCCAAGCCATCTTTTGTGTTGCCTTTTCTTTTGCAGCCTCAGCATCTGTAAGCATCCATTCGCCCCGATTCCTGCACGAATTCTATTCCATCAAGTGCCGCCGAACCGGAGCCCCGGGTGCACGTGCGCTTGCCTTGCATTGCCTGGCCGCTTTATTGATTTTAAAACTTTCATTGAGTCTTCGATTATGGCAGCGAGGGTCCCCTCCCCACACACACACACAACAGCTGTACTGGACGGGATACCAAACACCTGCGCTGTTGCGTGCCCGATCTTCCCTTTCCTTGCCCATTTCTACCCTCCTACAGCCTTAGCCCAGTCCTTACCCCTTAAGGTTATGTACGTACCCGGTTTGACATTTGGCCAAAACAGAGAGCGGCCAGCACAGAGCTTGAGCGTTGGTCTGGTTCTGGTCTCGTCTGGTCTGGTCTGGAGAGGGTTGCGCGTTCGTTGGATTTAGTCTCTTGCGGCTCTTGGCTCTTGCCTCTGTCTCTGGGGTTTGCTTTTGGGCCAACTTGTTGTTGGGAATAGAGCAGCAGCAGCAGCAGCTACAGCAGCAGCAGCTACTAAGTGGCTTGTGGTCGTATGTGTGTATGTGCTGATGGTGTTGGCATTTGTGCGCTCGTATTGACGTGGTCGTATGCTATAACTGTGCGGCGATACTGCGTCGGTGATGTGGCTATGGGCTATGGCCTCACTTTGCTGCCTATGCTGTTTGCCGTTGCCGTTGCTGTTTGCTGTTGCTGTTGCTACGAGTGCCAGTGCGAGTACGAGTACCAGCCGTAGTACGTTGGGGGCTATATGACTTGTTCTTCGGGCTCCCACGAGTTGCCACGACGAGCTTCGGTATGTGGGATTCGTGTTGCGGTTTTGGTTTCGGTTTTCTCTGTCTGGGGGGGTTTGGTTTTGAGTTTTAGTTTTCGTTTGGTTTGGCCGAACTGAACTGAACCAAACCGAACCGAATGAGAGCGATAAGATTCCGTGATGTGGCACTAAGCGCTGTTCGTTGTTTACTGCTGCTCTGTGCATTTGTACGCGGGCCGGCTGGCAGTCAGTCAGTCAGCCAGCCAGCCAGCAGTGGCCAGCGAGCCATAGAGGTGCCTCACACACACACACACACACACACAGGCTGCGACAGGCACTGACACACACTCGCACACACAAACACGTACGGCTGGATAGAGACGGTTAAACGTTTGACGAGAGCCAAGCCACATCGTACGGGTCGTTATGGCCCAGTCTAGTTGGCATTTCGTGCCTTGCCTTATGCCGCTTGCTAACCAAGACAGAAAACAGGCCTCTCCTCGTGCCGGAGCCCACTCTCTCTATATCTCTATATGTACATATATATATATTTAGGGACTGGCATCGGTGGCGTATGCGTGCTATTTTCAGCCACTAGCCACTCGAATGTCGCATTAAAAGCTTATGACCATGGCCAGGAGAAACAGAAACAGAAAGAGACAGAGAGAGCGAGAGGGAATAGAGCTTATAGAGTGGCGATAGCCAGCCAGATGTTACCATTATTATCCTATAATTACTGCTAACTCCTTTACCCTGCCATCGCCCACCACTTAGCTGGAGCTGAAGCGTCCCAAGAGTCGCATTTACCTGAACGAAACACAAGTGGGTCCCCTGGAGGAGCTGCCATTCCCCTCGTACAATCCACGCATCATTCAGGAGGCTCTCGACGGCGAGAACCTAAAGACCTTCGATCTGATTGAGGGCTGCAGTCCGCAAGATCTATGGACCTGGAATACCGGCTATCAGAAGCGTGAAGAGCAGCTGGATCAGGAGTTCATCAACGCCTCACTGCCCCAGTATGGTGTGTACACACACACACACTCACTCCATTCGATTGCACTTTTCATTCGCTTAGTTTCCCGCAGAAAACGACGGAGAGCTCACCGTCTATAATATACCCGAGGAACTGGACACCACCTTCAAGGCGGAGATTGTGTTTGGCAATCGAAATGTCTTTCCGGAGAAGGAGAAGGAAGAGGGTCGCATGAGGTGAGAGACAGCGCAGAGAAACGGAGTTCGGTGTGACTTTACCCCTCCCATTAGATACTATTATCGGCCCAGTGAAATTGCCTGCATTATCGTGGCCTATGTGGAGAGTTTTCGCCTGAATCCGGACTTCTGGACGGGCAGCACCATGGACGGTATACTGAAGCGTGGCGTTAGCCTGACCAAAAAGAGCATCGCCCTGAACTACAAGGCGCCGGAGCTGTGCGACTTTGACATTATACCGCAGGTGAGCGAGCGCCAGGCCGAGGTGAACATCAAGATCCATTTCTCGGGTCTGCTCAGGAACGAGCCGAACATGTTCAAGGCCCTCTCGCTCTTCTTTACCAAATACAACGCGTGCATCTTTGTGTCGCGCGAGCTGTTTCTGCTGATCTGGAAGCGGTGCCTCAACTCGTACTACGTCTTCGATCCGAATGGCCGCAATGACATGTGCCTGCGTGACTTTGAGGAGGGCAAGTGCTCGCTGATGGCCACCCGCTACACGGAGCATCTGGTGCATCTGATAACCAAATTCAGTGAGCTCCAGCCGCAGGATGAGTTCAGCATCTACGAGATATCGCTGGCGCAGTACGGCAAGCTGAAGGGTGAGCCCCTCAAAAAGGACAAGAACAACATGGAGGTGCACAAGCTGTGGGCGGTGGTCAATGAACATTTTGCGGTGAAGACAGCCGGCGATGGGGGCATCCATCAGCCGATATCGGGCAACGAGAAGAACGGCTCGCTGGTCGTCTCACTGATAGCCATGATCTATGCGGAATTCGAGCTGGCGAAGCTCTGGCGACCGATGACCATCGATGACATCATCCGCTATGGCACCGCCTACTACAAGACGCTGCGCAAGAAGTTCCGGCTGGACGGCAAGCGCTGGAAGAACAAGAAGCCGCATCTGAATGTCGTCGATCTGCCGGAGATGTTCCTCATGGGCGCCTTCAAGGCGACGGTGCGCAAGCAGCCGTTTCTGATCAACGGCCATGTGGCGGACTGCAAGAGCTACCTGGACTCGCAGCTAACGATGGCGCTGCATCAGCTCTTCAATATGCCGCAGTGGCCGTCGGCGCTGCTGCAGATCGACAACTCGGTGCTGGGCATCTGGCGGGACAGGGAATTCTTCTACGTGTTCGATCCGTTCCGGCGCAATCGCACCGGCATGGTGGTGGATCCGGACGACTATCGGATCAAGGGCCTGGCCGTGCTGCAGATGCACGCCACCTTCGACTCCTTCTGCCGCGTGCTGTACATGAATGCCCTGAAGATGCGGCGCGGCGGCAAGTTCTTCATCCACGGCATACGCACCGGCTGCATCCGGCCGCTGCAGGTGATGACACAGAAGACGAACAAGTTCCAGGCCCTGCAGATGGGGCTGCCCACGTTCACGGACGAGCCCCCAGAGCCGGAGCTGAAGCAGAAGAAGAGCATCGAGAGCATACCCGACGAGGAGCGCATACCAGTCAAGGAGGAGAAGGAGTGGATCGAGGATCTAATCAATGGCATCATCAACGAGGTTATCCAAGGCCTGCCCGACCCCGCACTGCAGCGGCCGCACCTCTATCCGCAGGCGCAGAAGGTGCTGCTGCGCACCGACAAGGAGACCCTGCGCGCCCTGCGGCTCAAGATCAAGCGAGGCTACGAGCTGGACGCCGAGGACGAGGAGGAGGAGAAGCGTGTGCCCACGCTCGAGGAGGAGGTGGCGCTGAGGAGCAACTTCCAGGCCCTGCCGGACGGCGCCTGGATAATCATGGGCTCCACACAGCTGCCGCATCTGGACGAGGAAATGGCCAAGCTGGGCGGCCTCCTGTCCGCCGTGGTGGCCGTGGCGGTGTCCGCCAAATATAAGCTCTCCACGTGGAACGCGGATCTCATTGAATTCGCGCTGGAGTCGGCTAACAGTTTCGGCGAGGACTACCAGAACTACGAGTACATTCTGGCCTGTCTGCTGGCCAAGAAGCTGCCGGACATCGCCATCGGGGCGAGCAGCTTCAGCCTGGACGTGCCCAAGGTGGTCAAGTCCTCGATTACGGTGCCGCTGCGGCAGGTGCTCGTGGATCTGCTCGCCAGCCAGAACCGGCTGCTGCTCGTGTGCCAGCGCTTCTCCTGCGTCATCTTCAAGCGCTACAATTTCCTGTACATGTTCATTGGGTTTCCCTGCAGTGCCGTGGGCTACCGCAAGGGTGGCTCCGGTCCGGCCTGTCTGCTGCGCTTCCTCGAGCTGGATGCGCTGATCAAGCGGATCGAGTTTGGCTGCAATCCCCTGGGCTGTTCGGTGATGAACTTCATTGTGGCCGGCATCAAGGTGGTGGACAACCATCTGGAGGGACGCTTCCGACGCTGGCCCAAGGCCGACGAGGATGTCGAGTACAAGCAGCTGTCGGCGCGCCAGAAGAGGCTGCGCGAGACGCGGCTGGAGAAGATGCGCTTCATCGATGACGAGCTCAAGAAGGAGAACGATCGCATTCAGAAGTTTCTCAGGGCCAAGCAGGAGCATCGGGACCGCAAGCGCAGGAAGCGTAAGTAACCGACGCTTCTGCTGTCACTTGTATCGAAAATTGTATCGATTCTAACCACACCTACACCCACAGGCGGCCCCGATTATCGGGACACGGGCATTGACGAGGGCGCAGCGGAGGGCGAGGAGTGGGACGAGGATCTGGGCATGGAGGAGGAAGAGGGCGAGGAGGAGATTGAACTGAAGCACCAGCCGGGCAAGCAGCTGCCCAAGGAGCTGATACGCGCCTACCAGCCGCGGCCCATCCTCTACGGCTACCGCATGCGGGAGAAGGACTGCCAGTTCAAGATCCAAGGCAGCACCGCCCTCGAGGGCCGCGACGAGGGCACCTTCAAGGAGATCAAGCCCTGCTACTTCGCCTCCGCCCTGGCCATACTCAGCTGCTCAATGCGTCCGCTGAATCGCTGGAACTCGTACCGGGTCGATCGGGTGATCACCAATGCCAAGGCGATAGCCGGCACCGTGTGCGAGCTGGAGTCGGTCTTTGAGCGCGTCGTCCGGCATGTGACGGTGGATGACTACGAGTTCGACATCTGGATTCGCGGCTTCGAGCCGCCGGGCATGGCTGGGCCGACCCAAAAGCAGCAATCGCCGGCCATGGCCCTCACCACGCTGAAGAAGAGACTGGACAAGTCGCTGAACACGCGCAAATATCTGCTGATATTCACGGCGAACGGCAGCTATGCGCTGTACCATGACGAGTTCTTCCATCTGTTCGATCCGTATGGCAGCATGGAGAAGGCTGGCGGCGGGGAGGAGGAGGAGCAGGACACTGGCAACGAGGAGGAGGGTGGCAAAAAGAAAAAGTGCCCCAAGGGACCCAAGCGCTATCCGGAGCGCAACACCGCCTCCTGGGTGCTCTTCGGCGACTCGGATGCCCTCATCAAGTACATTGACGAGCGTTGCGGCGCCAAGGACTGGAAGGAGAAGTGCATGTACAAGTTCTATGTGGTGGACATTCTGTCGCACAAGAAGGCCGCGCCGAATGCCCGCATCCTGCAGCTGCTGACGGATCTCTCCATACCGATGACCTGCTCGAACAAGCACTACGGCAGCCCGGAGTACGAGATCTGTGCCACCAACGAGTCGCTTGGCTGGCTGGAGCTGGAGAACTGCCTGCCGGTGTGGAGCCGTCTGAATCGCCGCAACACGGCCGGCAAGTATCGCAATCTGCCGGTCAGCAAACTCAAGAAGTTCGACGTGGAGATCGAGGGCCGTCTGTGGTCATTGTGGGGCAACCTGCATCCGGAGGCGCCTGTGTTCGAGGATGAGTTGCGTGGTCGCCAGTACCTGGCCTGCTATGTGATGGCCTGCTGTGCGGCGAGCGTCTACCGGCTGATGGACTGGAGTCCCCACATGCTGGACAACATCGTCGTGAGCGGCACCACCTACTTCAAGGAGAGCGTCGAGCAGATCAACAAGGAGGACTACGAGTTCTCGCTGGAGAACCTCAACATTGACTGCTCCATGGATGCCATCAACTTTGTGGTGCACATCGAGCACGTCTGCTACGGCAAGCTGTACCGCGTGCCCACCTTCAATCGCATGAATCTCGCCGAGGCGCTGATCTACTTCTTCAGCCACTACCAGTACGGCATTGTGATGGTGCGCAAGCGTGCCCTGGCCATTGGCTTCTGTCCGGGCCACGATGGCGGCTACTTCATGTACGACTGCCAGGAGAAGGATCATCCGCTGTTCCCCAAGCAGCAGGGCGCTGCCTACATGCTGCGCACTCGACACCTCCAGGTGCTGCTCTACTGCATTGTGGTGACGCTCAATGTGCCCTTCTACAACATTGACTTCAGCATTCACAAGGTGGAGATGCTGCGCGAGGGTGCCACGCTAGAGAACGACGAGGAAGAGGGAGGCTAAGGGCAGATTGTACTTTGGCTCGAGGATTGTTTAAAAGTTTAACCATTAAAATTGTTGGAGAAAGAACCACACGAGATATTCGCCCCCGTCCACACCTTCCATTCTGCTGTACAAATAATGAGACGGATGGACATTCACCAAGTCGAATTTTAATCAAATATTTAAGAACTAAAAGCTAAACATTTAACAACAAGCGGATGACGCAAGCCACTCGATGCCGTCATCCCGTGATTGCGTCACGGGCTGCTGGCCATGAGCTAATGCCTCAGACGCAGCTGCTCCTCGGCCTGTCTGTAATGATAGCCATCGGAGCGAAGCTCGTGGGCTGGCTCTGGCTCTGCCTCTGCCTCTGCTGGCTCGGCGTCCGTGGGTGCCATGGGCTGCTGCACATCCATGTAGTAGGGCATCTGTTCCTCCTGAAGCTGTGGCTGCTGCTGCAGTGCCTGGATCTGCATCTGCTCCTGGTACTGCTGATAGGTGAGCTGCTGGGGCTGCTGGGGCTGCTCCGTTGCTGGTGCAGGTGGCGGCAGGTAGCGCATGGCAATCTGTGGCTGCTCTGGCTGTTGCTCGGCAGCCATCATCTCCATTTGGGGCTGCTCTGAGAGCTGCTGCTGTTCCATCTGTGCCTCAGGCTGTGGTGCTGGTGCTGGCGCTGGCGGCAGATAGCGCGAGGAGAGCATGGCATCCATTTGCTCCGACTCGGACTCCAAGGGAGCGGGTGGTGTCAACAGACTGCTGGGCATGGCCTCCATCACCCCCTGTTCGTTCTCCCGCATGTACTCCACCTGCTCGGGCAGCTCACGCAGCTCCTGCTGCTCAATGCTCATCGAGACGGCGTGCTCCGGCTTTGGTGGCGGTGGCAGGTAGCTGCTGGCCAGATGGGAGACATCCGCGGCGGCCAGGCACGCCAGGCACAGGGCAATGGTCAGGCAGAGGGATCTCTGCGGAACGTTTAAACGTTGTAATTATATGCCCAATCGGACTCCAATCCCTTCACTTACCATCTTGTTGGTGGTCGTCTGTTGGTTGTCAAGCGTCTGATGTTGGAGCAGCTGAAACTGAAGCTATATATACAACACAGTCGGACGCCAGAGACCTTCGCTAAATGTTCAAATATTTGGCTAAAAGCCTGGTTCCGTTATTTGCCTATTCGATCGTTGATTTGTCGTTGAATTTCGCGCATCTTATCAAACAACAAGCCAGCAAACAGCAAACAGCCAACAAACAAACATTCGCTGGAGTATTGAGCTGAATCATTGCCACTGACCGCCAAAACCAAAACCAAAACCAAAAACCAATCCCATCCGATCCGATCCAAGCCAAAATGATGCTTCAATTGGACTCGGTCTAAGCCGCTTTTGGCATCTTTTTCGCCGTACCTCCCTCCATTAGACGCAGACGCAGGTGCCACTTGACGGGGCGTTTGACAATCTGAATTGCGCTTCAGTTGTTCGGCTCTCGAGGCGTATAAACTGGAGCATGGCTTCAGCATGTCCAAGGTTCCCCACCATTGAAGTATCTCTCTCTCTCTCTCTCTGGGGGCTTGGCCTTCTCTGGAAGATTTCACGGTCAATAGCAGCAGCAGCAGCAGCAGCTGAAGAAGATGTCAAGCCTGAAGCCTGAAGCCTGACTCTCAAACTTTAATGGGGGGAAATCGTAGCTGAAATAATCTAGTTTTCGAGGTGGAAAAACTCATTCGATATATGATTTCCCGTGCCTGGGAGTTTCATTACAGTATACATTTTCACACCGGTCGGGTCGTAACTTGCGCTTAATCAATCGTGCTTCCTTAGAGCTTATATATTTTATATTTACACACGATTTTTGTTTGGTTTTGGATACACTTTTGTCTGATTTCAGAGATCCAGCATGTACGGCTGCACAATATGCGAGCACAGGAAGAGTGTACTGAACACTGAGCCGGAATTCGATTTCCGGCGACGGAAGCCAAACACCGAAGAGATGCAAACCTATGGGCTGTCCAACTACTGCAGTTTCTGCCAGCGCGTCACCTTCTTTGTCAATCTGTTGGACTATGAGGGCCCATTGCGCGGTCCAATGGCATGGAATATCATACGTGAGGCTGCGGAAAAGCAGGGCAAGATACCAGTGCAGGTGAGGGATTTTCGGGGGCAACAACTGGGGCCTAAAGTTCACTTTATTTTTTCTTTTGTTTTTCGGAAATATTCCAGGAGCCTTTGGCGCCGCCTGCGTCCCGGGAGAGGGCTGGTCAGTTGCGCAAAGAGTCGGAGGAATCCTCTTCGGATCCCGGCATACGGCAGACGACTGTCCAGCTAAATGTAGAGTCAGAAGAGTCCTCCTCGTCCAGTGTCAGTGAGAATCTGAGTGATAGCCGAACCACTGGGCTCATACACTCCATTCTGTACTCTGAGACCGATTCAGGCACAAGCAGTTCGCGGCAGGCCGCGGACTTGAAGGTGCTCTATCGTCGCCCATCGAATCCACACAACAAGGAACGCCGCAGTTCCTCGCGCAGGATCAGCGCCCCTCACGTGGCGCCCTCGGGGGGCCTTCTGCTGCAGCGCAAAATGATGGAGAAGCGGAAGCAGCGCAAAATAGAGGAGAAGAGGAGGCGGCTGGAGCAATTGAACGGCATTATGCGTCGCATCGAAGCCAAGACCATGAAGCTCCGCACCGAGATGGTGGCCCTGGAGCACAAGACGCAGCAGCTGGAGACGGGGGAGCGAAAGCCGCGACGGCAACGAGAGGCAGCGGGCGCGTTGGCTCCCAACAACACTTGGTGGGGGCGCGAGAACCTGGAGAAGGTATTCGGTAAATGGTCCCCGGAGCGAAGGGACAGCAAAATGGAAGAAGGGGCAGACATTCTAATGCGGGCCATCCAGGAGAATAGTGGCAGCCCGAAGCAGGAAAGACACACAGATCAAAGGGATCAGCGCACACGCAAGGAGCCGAGTGGTGGTAAGGATCCGAGGGCAACCAAGGAGCATCGCTTGCACAAAGATCATCGCTCAAGGAAAGACCTGAAGGGAGTACCGGATCGTAGCCCAAAGAAAGTTCACATAGATGAGTGTGCAGTGAAGGATCGTAGGCAGACGGAGCTTAAAGGGCCCTGGTCCATGCAGAATCTATACGTACGTTCGTCTGCGCCAGCGGAGATGGCGGAGAAAGACTCCCCGCCGACCGACAGCGTTAGGTTCAGGGACAATGAGCGTCTGAGGAGTCTGTTGGAGAGTCCCAAAGCGATGCCGCAGACGCTGCGGGTCTGCAGGGAGCCCTTATTGTGTCCTGTATGCCCGGAGTGCCAGCACCGATGCTTTGTATCGGACTTCAACACTCACGTGCAGCGGGACCATGCGAATGTGATGCTGGAGCGGATCAGAGTGGGGCAGACGAAGACCTTCCATCTGGATCTGAGGCTCACGAAGAAGAATCAGCCCGTGTGCCACATGATATACTTTGTCAAGGACATGATCATCGATCCCCAGGGCGGGCATACGCACGACCTGCTGCCCGTGCTCGTCATGACTGCCCGCATGAACACCGCCGATGTGCAAAACACCAAGGAGTCGCCCCTGGAGGACGACGAGGCGCTGCAGTTTTTGCTCGTTTGGCTGTGCAGCTATAAGCCCAGCAACTATCGTGTGATTGGCACGATCTGCGTTGAGGCGACGTGCGCCGAAATGGCCGACAGCCTGACGGTGCGCACCGCCCGGGCCTACGATATACGGGCCATCCAGGACATGAACACCCTTTTCCACAGTCCCTCGACACTGGTCATGCCCTACAACTTTGTCCGGCGCATCAGCAAGCGGGGCAACCACTCCCTCACCGTTAGCGTCAAAATTGAGTAGGAAATCGAATTATTTAATAATCCTATTCAATGCCAAATTGTAATGTGTTTAGGAATCTATTTAGTTTGAGCCTTTAAAATTAAACAATTTGGAATATATCTACATACGAACTGGCACCAGCACCATGATGCATTTGACTCGAAAATTGTAAAAGTTTTTCCATCTGTCGAGCTTAGGCCGAGTCTTTGTTAATCCCCTTGTTAGTATAAATATACCTATATTTTTCTTGCTAAAAAAAGAATGTGAATTCTTAGATGGCTATTCTACATGAATTATACATAAATGCTACACAAAGAGAGCCCCAAAAGTGTGCCACAAATTACAAAACAAAACAAAAACCCCCAAACATTCGATTGATGTCAAATGTAAATTAATTTGTAGATAGGATGCTGCCCCCAAGTGGTAGTAGGTTCAGTGTGCAAAGAGGACTAGGGACCGCCTGTTGTATGATTGATTCAAAGATCCCCGCAAGCAAACACTGAAAAAACGCAGAATGAACTTGACTCTAGGTGCTGGCAAGGACAAGGATATTTTGGGTAGCAAAAGATGCTTCCTTGAAATGAAATCTCTGTGTGTAAGTGGTTCCCAGTCCAATCGTCTGGCACACTGATTGACTTTTTTGCCACCACATCACTCAGTCAGTCGCTCATCAGACAATAAAAATGTTACATAAAATTGAAAGTCTTGCTCGCATATCATTGCTAGGCTCTTCTGTTCTGTCGAGTGCCTCTGTGTGGGTGGAATGCAATTTATGTTGATGCTGTGAGAGCGTCTCCAGGTCTCCCTCGACGTCTCTCGCTTGCTCTCTGTTTCGAGTGTCGTAGAACGATTGTGATTAATGGAGATAGCGTCATTGAACGCGATCCGGCGCTTCATATGCACAATGATCCCCCGCCGCCGCATGATGTCATTCACCAGCGATTGAATGTTGAATGGCACTTGCCAAACGATGGCTGCCTCGATTCGCGTGGCCCCCTCTGGCACCCAGTCACTGGAGCACAGTGTCAAGTGAGAGTTTGTTTGGTGTTGCTGCTGCGGCAAGCGGAAATAATGGTTTAATGAGACAAATGACGCGACTCTGACACATCTGACAGCTTCTAAATACGTGTGAAATTGTCGTGAAATTAATGCTCAATTTTGGACAGCAAACACATGTACGCGTACGAGTACGAGTACGAGTATCTATCATCTTGCAGTCAATGTCACATCTATGACAATTAATATTCGCAGAAATTCACGGACAGCATGTTAATCTCACAGTAGAGTATCGATAGCTTCCGCAGCCTAAACTCTATGGAGCTGTCACTACTGGGGCTTCCATTTTGAAGTGAACTTTTGTGGTACCCCACCGCACTCAGTCTTTCTGGTTTCTGGTCTGTCTGCGTTCAAAAATAGCTCGTTTTCCTTCAAGCATGCCAAAATCTGTTTGTCTGCTCGTTAACGAGAGTTTAGGCTGCGAGGCATGAGAGCATTTTGGCGAGGAATAAAAATGGGATGCAGCAAAAGTTTCCAAATTTGCAGTTCTGAGATTTTTTTTGGAATGCACTTGGATACAGAGATTATTGTTCGCTATTAGCTTTAAGCTTGGATAACTGCATTCTATTTATACACTAATCACATGTTATTCGCCTCTATTGTTGCTTAAAGAATGCTGCAATTTCCATAAATAAATTGTGATACTTAATTTTGCACAAAATTAAATTGCATTGAGACTCATTCGATCAATCAAAGTGTAGGTTGATTCTTCCGTTTTGCATTCCCCTGTGCTCTGTTGCACTTGACTCATTCTTGTGGTTTATGCATTTTTCGCTTTTTGCAGCTGCACTTTATTAATACACTTTTATGACCATTTGAACGAAAGTGGCCCAGTGACATCAGTTGTTGTGGATCTATCATGCTCGTATAAGTACGAGTATAGCAATCTAATTTGAGGGAAAGGCGTGTATTTGTTCGAGTATGTTTTTTCATGAGATCAGCGTTTGTTAATCACGAGGGAAATGGGTTAAATTTCACATGAGAAATGTTTACTTTGCAGCCAATACTCGTTCGACCTCATGCATGCACATACATATGTATGTATGTACATGTGGGTATGTGCAATGTTTGCCACATTTTGTGGCTTGTTTGTAGCTGTGTTCTAATTGAAATGGACCACAAAATTTCGCTTGCCGCATGCCGCATGCCGCCAACTTCAAAGTTGGTCGCTTCTGATTGATGCTTATGATTGATGGAAGCCTTAACCAATCTCCGTCTGCAATTCTTATTTTATTTATGTATTTTTTTTTTTGCCCGCTGTCAAGTTTTTTGTTTAAAGTTCTTTCCTCGTTTTAATTTTTTGTTTTTGCGCTCCAATTTGAAACAATTGAACTTTGTCCCTCGAAGAAGAATTCCCTGGCTTGGTCTCTTCTCGACTCTCTCGCATTTCTCTCTGCCCGTGTGTGTGTACTCTGCATAATTTGCATAAAATATATACGAGCATTGGCATATTCAAAGTCCGAAAAAAAAAGAGACGCTGGACCCAAAATGCGCGTGTGTGTTGTTTTCATTTCCCATTTTCCAGTTTGGTGCAAAATCTCACATTTCCATAAAGGAAACATGGCAAGCAAAAGCATACTCGTAAAATTAAATATGCATAGGAATTGGCGATGTGCCTCTGCCTGTGCCTCTGCCGCTTGCAACAGTCTGGTCTGAGATGAGAAGAGCTTGAGGTTGCTCTGGCCGAATTCCGCTTCACTTCTTGTGGTTGTAATTGTTGCCACAAAGGCACTGGTGCAGTGTCAATCGAAGGGGCTGTGGCAGGGGCAGGGGCAGTGGCAGTGCGGGTGCACACAATGTATGTATGTATGTGTGTGTGTGTGTTGTCATTGACATGGATGGTCTCGTCGTGGTTCGTGTCTGCAGCTCAAATGCGTTTTGCATAACATTAAAGCCAAATGCAATTGGAATTTATGCAAGTGCAAGTATTTTTCACAAATTAAATTTCACTATTTACATTGGAAGGGGAGGGCACAGAGAGCGGCACAGAGAGTGCCTCAGTGGCAGTGACAGGGGCAACCTAAAATGTAAAATTTAACATTTAAATATCACTTAGGCATTTCCATTTCAGTCAGATTCAATTCCATTTCAGTATCCGTGTCCGTACTAGAACATTTTAGAGTAGAAATTTTCGTTTATAAAAAACTATAAAAAGTGAATAAATTATTGGTACATATTTTTAGCTAAAAGCAAATAACTAAAATGTCTTCAAACTGTGACCAAAAGGTGACCAGCGACACTTGTTGCCACGACTTTGACTTGTACCCCACTGAGAGCGACTTTGCCCTGGAACTGAAGGCCGTACCGAAGGAGACTTGCATACCACTCAATCATACCCACATTGCCAAATCGGAGAGCAGGTGAGGATCGTTGTGTGGAATATTAGCAGAACACTTGTGCATAGATCTAGTGCGTATCTCCCCAATAGCGTGCCCAACCGACGCCACGAAATGGACACTCAGATACGTAAGGCCGTCATGTCGCAGTTCTCTTTGAATATCAAGAGACCCCAAGAATAGGATACAGGCCTGGAAGTAGTTGTGGCAAGGGGGGCACACACAGTGTGGTGGTAAATGGTTCGCTGTGGCTCGTGTCTGCAGTTTAAATGCGTTTTCCATCAAATCAAAGCCTCGTTTAAAGCCAAATAAAATTGAATAGTGAAATGACAAATTGAATTTCACTCTTTGCTGAACATGGTGAGGGGGTTGGGGGTGAGTGGCCATGCCACATACGGCGCGTATACGTGTTATTTGCAATTCGCAAAGCGAAACATTTTTGATCACTTTTCTATGCAATTAGTTGCCATTGAAGCAATGCCACGTTTCTGCGAATTAGACAAAAATATTTGATTAATTAGCCAAAGCAAGCGGAATATTCATTTATCATTTGAATGGATGTCCATATGGATGGATGGAAGGATTGGATGCCTGCGGATAGGTTTATGGCCCACATTTGTCGATGGCTCTGCAAATTATGCATAAATTATGGGCCTCACAAAATCTATGTAGAGTGATAGTTTCCAGCAATAGAGATGAAGCGATGAAAACACATTCTAAACATGCGAGAGTACTGTTGGGATTAGTCATGGCTGGTAGATGCGATTCGGCCATATGCCGTTGAATATTTACAGGTGAATCAGCAGTGAGAGAATAGATTATGAGCACGGTACATGCATATCGATAAGCGAACGACTTACAGGTTCCCTGATGATTCAGATGGCTGGGATTTCCTACCACATATTGAGTCAGAGAAGTTGTAAATTTTGGAGCGTACAGAGTACTTCGCTTGGAATATCTCTCTCTCAGCCCCAAAAAGGCAAATGATGCTCCCTAATTGAACTTGAACTTAATGTTAAGTGACAGCAATTGGAATATCTCAATTTCGTGCATGAATATTTGGGTCAATTTATACATATTTTTAGCTGGAAATTTTTAGTGGAATGCAAAAAACAAGTGAATAATACGAGTAAAACTAATTAATCGCGTAATCGTACGACCGCACTTTAGGGGCTATATACATACATATGTATGTAAGTACATTTAAAAGACCATTTATCAATGGCAGTTTTTTAATAGTCTTTAAAATATTTTGAATATTCATGAGACCCCCGAAAGAGGGGCAAGAGCAACAAAAGCACGGCCAGTAACCACTGGCCAGTGGCTAGTGGCCAGAAACAATTTGTTTGCCGTTTGAGCATAAAGATATTGGAAATCGATTAGTGTAGAGTGAACAGGAAAATCCACAAAATGGAAGTGACACTGCCAGACACTCGGCTGGACACCCCTTCTAGACCCGCATCATCGCTGCCACCCTGAACTGCTGGCCAAGAGGGAACGCATAATTCTTGATTGGGTGGCCTTAAGCGGCTGGCACACGCACACCACACCGCACGGACTAATCATCAATGACAAAGTTTCTACCACCGCCAGTGGCAGGTTGCAGGTTGCAGTCTGCTGACCACCATCACTTCTGGCCAAAACACTCAACAAGTTGTCTTCAATTAGCGCCAATCGCGGCACAACAACGAAAAGCAATTAAGTGACGTTCGATGCTCGAGGAGACTGCCAGACCATGCCAGGCCAGGCCAGGCAGCGGCATGCTGGGTGGTTTGCTCGTTCTGCCAAGGCTTATCAAATATTTTTTAATTTAAATTTATTATTGAAAGTATTCCAAAGTTGGTTATCATCGTTGCATATTTTCCTGCAAGCGCATTGGGGCATGTGGTGTGCCACTCGGTCTGTTGTTAGAATATTTGCATAATTGCAAACACGTTGCATGACTGGTTGTGGGTATTCATCATCACTACGTCTCCCCTACAGTCGAAATGCAGTCTCCCAGATTTGCATAGTGAGCAATGCAACTTCACATCGTGTGACTCAGCCGAAGTGCTGCTGGTGGTGGTGGCCTTTAATTCCTGGTAAACGAGCCCCCCCTATCCACGAACCTTAACTAGATCGGCCAATAAAGCCAATCAACACGCACTCGATACGTTCGATGGCATCACAGAATATTTTCTGGGCACAAGTGCAAGTTTGCAAGTATTCCATTTCGTGTATTCGTATATACATTTTATGATTGTTTTCGGGACTGTTGTTTGCTTCTGTACAAAAATATACATAGCATTCATTTCTATACAAATTTGTGCGCTTATTAATGGAGCATAGCCAGTCGGCAGTCGGTGGTAGCACTGACACATGTTGTGCGAAAAATGGATAACAATTGGCCACATGTGGCAAGTGTAACAGAGGGTGAGGCTGAAAATCATTTGTGCTGGTCGAAACTTGTCGAAAGTTTAAGTCGAATTATAATAGTTTTTCCCATGTGAAAGATGCCAGCAATTCATCTTTCAACAGCTATGTTTTGATCTTACAGGGATACTCGTATTTATCCATATTTGAAGAGTATTTTGTATCTGCTGATATCACCCAAAAATTTAATCTATTTTTAATCATTTACATGAAGCCATATCCACGTGCCGGCGCTTTGCCCTCTTGCTGGGTCAATGTCATGCTATAAATGGGGATTCCCCGCCTTTTCGGACAGCTGAACAAATCTTTAAATTGCCATAAATTACAAGAATGCGAGACATTATATTATGTTTGATGCGGCAGCCACAATGTTGCGCAAACTCGCACCAGAGTCAAGTGCTGAGTGCGATCGAAGCATTTCTAGAATTAATGGGTCTGCCCTTTTGATGGCCGAAAACATTTTGAGCTGTAGCATAAATCATTGCCAGAACGAAACGATTGACCTTCTGCCATTTAAGAATATCATTTTGATTCGTATGTTTAGGGTGTTAACTGTCTGCCTGGTATCGGGCGATTGTATTGGAGGAACTATAGTGTGGATACGTAAGTCATGTAATTCTGATGTTTATGCAAAAAAAATTGCTGTGTGCCAGACTCTACCCCAGATGTTGGCAGTGAGGCGCCACCCACTCAATGCCAATGTCCAGAGCAGATGGTGGACTACTGGCCACTAAATGTGGGGCTGTGGGATTCTATTTCCATTTGCATGTCATCTTTATTTTTAGCCAACTGGGATGGTTCGGTTCCTCCACCCTGTACGAGTATTAACTGTTTCATAAATTCCATACATTTTCATTGGATTCGATTTAATTTTGCAGCATATCTGCAAGTGCAAAATGATTGCCCATTTGTATTGTACATAGTTTGTACAATCTTCGGCTTTTGTTTATAATTTGTTTACGGAATGCCCGCATATTGCCTCAATTTATTCCCGAATTTCATTCTCCACATTGTGTGCTCTCCAGTGTAAACAATACTAGCAATTGTTTATACCAATGAAAAAGTGCAACATATTAAATAATAAACTGCTAAAAACACTCGACGCACTCTGGTGGTTGCCCCTCGGCAGCGGCCACTTCAATGTCTCTGTGTCAATAAATCGGATTGTCGATAAGGGCGGGGGAGAGAAATGGGTCAGGCGCGCACAAGCACAACCAAATGAAAATTTGGTGTTGTTTCTGCCACACTTTGTTGCAGCTTTGATTTTGTTGTTTGCCTGCACATGTTCATGTTACATTTTATCGCTCCTCGAGCAACAAGTTTCTCAAAGCTTGAAAGCTCTTTGGTAGAAAACCGTTAAATTCAAATCTGAGATACCAGGCGCACAGAAATCAGGAGAAAGTCGCTGCTTTTTTAAAATTCTCGTTTTTTCTTGTTTCTCTTTGTATTTCGTTGCTCTGTCTCTGCGCTCTAATTTTGCTCATTTTCTGCCTCCACTTTCCACCGCTCAATGGCAGAAAACCGTTAAATTCAAATCTGAGATACCAGGCGCACAGAAATCAGGAGAAGGTCGCTGCTTTTTTTAATTCTCGTTTTTTCTTGTTTCTCTTTGCTTTTCGTTGCTCTCTCTTTCCACTCTAATTTCTCTCATTTTCTGCCTCCACTTTCCACCGCTAAATTGGCAGAAAACCGTTAAATTCAAATCTGAGATACCAGGCGCACAGAAATCAGCAGAAGGTCGCTGCTTTTTTCAAATTCTCGTTTTTTCTTGTTTCTCTTTGTATTTCGTTGCTCTCTCTCTTTGCTCTAATTTTTCTCATTTTCTGCCTCCACTTTCCAACGATCAAATGGCAGAAAACCGTTAAATTCAAATCTGAGATACCAGGCGCACAGAAATAAGCAGAAGGTCGCTGCTTTTTTTTTTGTTAAATTCTCGTTTTTTCTTGTTTCTCTTTGTATTTCGTTGCTCTCTCTTTCCGCTCTAATTTCTCTCATTTTCTGCCTCCGCTTTCCAACGATCAAATGGCAGAAAACCGTTAAATTCAAATCTGAGATACCAGGCGCACAGAAATCAGCAGAAGGTCGCTGCTTTTTTTAAATTCTCGTTTTTTCTTGTTTCTCTTTGTATTTCGTTGCTCTCTCTCTCTTCGCTCTAATTTTGCTCATATTCTGCCTCTACTTTCCACCGCTCAAATGGCAGAAAACCGTTAAATTCAAATCTGATATACCAGGCGCACAGAAATCAGCAGAAGGTCGCTGCTTTTTTTAATTCTCGTTTTTTCTTGTTTCTCTGTGCTTTTCGTTGCTCTCTCTCTTCGCTCTAATTTTTCTCATTTTCTGCCTCCACTTTCCACCGCTCAAATGGCAGAAAACCGTTAAACTCAAATCTGAGATACCAGGCGCACAGAAATCAGCAGAAGGTCGCTGCTTTTTTTAAATTCTCGTTTTTCCTTGTTTCTCTTTGTATTTCGTTGCTCTCTCTTTCCGCTCTAATTTCTCTCATTTTCTGCCTCCGCTTTCCAACGATCAAATGGCAGAAAACCGTTAAATTCAAATCTGAGATACCAGGCGCACAGAAATCAGCAGAAGGTCGCTGCTTTTTTTAATTCTCGTTTTTTCTTGTTTCTCTGTGCTTTTCGTTGCTCTCTCTCTTCGCTCTAATTTTTCTCATTTTCTGCCTCCACTTTCCACCGCTCAAATGGCAGAAAACCGTTAAACTCAAATCTGAGATACCAGGCGCACAGAAATCAGCAGAAGGTCGCTGCTTTTTTTAAATTCTCGTTTTTTCTTGTTT